AAGCATAATGTTATGCATTCGGAGTTCTCGATGTAGCGGTCTGTTCTTGATCGAGTGGAGAAACGCGAGACCTTGAGCTGTTCCAATGGCTATCTTAACACGTATTTCCCATGGCAATGCCTCTTCTTCTTCTGTTGAGGGAAACATGAAACTATATGTAATGCAAAAACTGTCTATACCGATTTTTAGAATGGACCCATTAACTAGAAGAGATCTTAACTTCCGAAAATGTGCGAGTCCAGACTTCCTTTGTGCGAGTATTCAAAAACCAAGAAGAGTTGTTTGTTGTCTTCACAACAGTAACCCAAGAAATTGACCAAATTCTGATGAGACATCTGTCCAAGAGACCTCACTACTGCCTGTGCCCATCATATAAGCAGACAAGACATATTACAAGGAATAAGAGACAGGTATCGATATTGCGTAAAAATGGACAGACTTAGCTAAGCTTACCATCCAGTCTTGTAGAGAGCGTGAACTATCACATTCCATGACAGAAACAGCGACTCCCGTTCCATTTCTTGACGGTGCAAATGTGGTTTCATCTATGTAGCCTTTGTAAAATTTTCGAACAGAGCCATCCTCGCATTCTACGACCCTGTCTTGTCTGAATTTCTTCGTTGCTTTCTTCAAATCCGCGAATCTGAAGACTCTCAGGTTCTCGTTTCTAAAGACTCTCAGATTCTCGTTTTCTGGCTCCACTTTTCATAGACATTACATATAAATCGAACAACGCATTTATATTTTAGACAGTATCCGTAAACAAAAAGTAAAGTGCTTTTAAAAACAGAGATTAACCTGAAAATATTGGAGGGATAATCAGAGGCTTGGGAGCAAGGGAAGTTGTTGTTTCAGCTGCTTTAGAGAGTTTCCCATTGTTAATGAAGGAAAGAGGAAGATGCTTAGAAAGATATGTAGATTTTTGGCTTCAAGATTTTAACAAATCTTTATAGGGTTTTAGTAAGAGTTTGTAACTTATTAAAGAAGCTACCGAAGAAAAAAAAGGTTTAGCCTGGCCTCAGAATTCAACCCAATTGCTCACTCAGGCCAAACAAGGAAAAAGGCGTAGAAGGCAAGTTTGGGTATGTCTGTATCCATATAAGGCAAGTTTGTGGAAATATTTCTAAGACTCATTTATAGAGGGAGATTTTATCTTTCAAACTTTTATTCCAAACTTGTTCAACTTCAAATCTCATTACCTCTTATACACATTAATCTTTAATCTCTGCAATATCATTCAAACCATCAAGAACTTGTTGCATCGATGGTCGTTTCCTCGTGTCCAACTTGATGCATCTTTTGATGAGTATTCCCATCTGTGTCGCTGCATTCACAGGATAATCATTGCCAAGTCGAGGATCGATGATTTCCCGGATTTTAGATTGATCAGACAAGAAAGGTTTAGTCCAGACATGTAAGCTTTGCATGTTCTCATTCTTTTTACCATCTGAAGCTTTCAAACCAGTTAAAATCTCAAACAAGATCACACCAAATGTATACACATCACTCTTCGTTCCCAAATGACCTACGTACATTACACAATTGTCTTAAACATCGAACCACGAAAGAATACTTAAGAGTGTTTGTTAACAAAACTTAAGATTTTGGTGTACCTGAGATTGCATATTCAGGAGCTAAATATACAGTTCTTCCTATGAATGCAGTCGTCACACTTTCTTCTAACAAACATAGTTTCTTTGATCCAAGATAAAACAATTTTGTGTTGTAGTTCTATTGAAATCCAAAAGTTCATGTTTCATTATAATTGTAAGATTATAAACAATAAGAACAGCAAGAAGAGTGGTCTAAAGTCATTACCTCGTCAAGCAAAATGTTATACATTCTGAGTTCTCGATAAAGCGCGCTGTTCTTGACAGAATGTAGAAATGCAATACTTTGAGCTGCTCCTATGGCTATCTTGACCCGTGTTTCCCACGGCAATGCTTCTTCTTCTTCTGTTGAGAAAACATGAAACTGTATGTAAAGGAAAATTCAGTATACTGATTTTTAGAAATGGACCCATTGATTAGAAGAGATCTTAACTTCCGAAAATATGACGGTCCAAACTTCCTTTATGCAAGTATTCGAAAACTAAGAATGATTTGTTATCTTCACAACAATAGCCTAAAAGTTTGACTAAATTCGGATGAGACATACGTCCAAGAGACTTCACTTCTTCCTGCAACTCAATAGTTTTTGTGCCCATTAGATGCATAAGTACATATCTATATTAAGAAGACAAACTTTAAAAAAAATAATGGACAGATTTTGGTTACCTTCCAATCTTGTAGAGTCTGCGAATTATCTTGATAACATTCCAAGACAGAGACAGCGATTCCAGTTCTTGATGGAGCAAAGGTTGTCTCATTGATGTAGCCTTGGTAGAATGTTCGAGTAAATCCGTTATCATTACCTTTTATGACCATGTATTGTCTGAATTTCTTTGTTGCCTTGCTCAATTTCGCAAAGCTGAACTCTCTCAAATACTCCTTTTCTGACTCCCCTTTTTATACATAACAATATACGTAATTAAATTTTATATGTAAACAAAAGTAAAGTGCATTTGAAAACAGAGATGTACCTGAAATTGGAGGATTGATGAGAGGCTTGGGAGAAGGTTTGAGAGGATTTAGACAGTTTCCCATTGTTGATGAAGATGTTAAATCTGTAGGATTTTGATTTCAAGATTTTAACAGATCTTGTAGGGTTTATTTTATGAGGTTGAAAATGATTTAAGTGTGAAAGAACCTTCAAAAAAGGTTGGACTGTCTCTGAATTCAACCCTTTAAAAAGTCATGTTCACATTCAAAGCCAAAAGAATCCACAGTATAAATGCATATAAGGCCAAATTTAGTAAACAATTCTAGAATAAACAGGGATTGAAAAATTAGATTTTGTTCTTTGTTGGAAACAAAGAGATCATGCAATGAATAAAAAAAAAAGTACAACATAATTAAATTTAACTTAGATTAGAGTTATGCAGACTAAACAGCCTGAGTTTGACAAATAGAACAATAACTAGTGTCTCAGACAACAACGAAAGAGATGGCTCATAAGTCAAAAGCCAGGTTGGTTCAAGTAGTAAGGACCAGGTTGGTTCACGTAGTAAGAACCATGTTGTATCCAATAACAACAAGGTGTGTAGGGATCATATTGTGGTGCAAACTGAAACTGGTTCCAGTTGGGTACATAGACTTTTACTTGTTGGGCGTTTTGGTTATTGTTAACCCTAGCACCAATATAAGCAAGGTTGCACTTAGCCTCTCGTCCGTCTATGACCGGTTTTGGATTCTGGCAAGCTCTCGTTGCAGATTCAACATCTTTAAACGTGACAAAACCATAACCCTCTGATCTTCCCGTTTCTCTATTACAAACCACATTAACATGGATAATTTCTCCGAATTGTTGGAAGTAGCTTCTCAAACCTTCGTTTCTTGTTTTCCAAGGCAAACCTCCCACGTATATCTTGGTGTATCTCGTATCGACGTTTTGGTTCGTGGAATGTTGAGTCATGTCTCTCTGTCACAAGTCTTTAGAAAAAAAATGGAACAAAAGTTCTATTAATCAAAAAATAAATAAAAATTCAGGAATTAATTAGATACTAGAAAATTCTAAGTTAAATAGAGAATTTATCGAAAATTCGAAAGATATGTGTACAGAATGTATGTATCCTATTAGAAAGAGATGAAGATAATAAGTAAGAGAGAATAAATGTATTTTTTTATGCATAAGAAACAATTTATTTACCATATATGTGAAGTGGGAAACAAAATCACAACATAAACAAAGAAAAAAGAAAGATGAACTTACAACAAGAACAAAGCTTCAAATAAAGAAAATCAATCAAAGAGAAAATCTAATCCTTATCTCTGATATATGTATGTCAGGGTTTAACGATTTGTAGAAAAGAATTCAAGTCTAGTTTTCCTTTTATAGGTTACTTGTGATGGTTCGGTTGATGAAAAACTTTTATGGGTTCAAAGTTAAGTCCAAGTCCAAGCCCAAGCCCAACCCTTGTTATTCCACTCCAACTGCTATAAAACGATTCTTCTCTTTTGTATCTGTCAATTTTTATTTTTCTGCACACAATCAATCTCTCACGTTATATTGAAAGTAGCTATAGGAAGCATTAAATCATATGATTTAGGAAGCCAGCTAATTAAGTACTCCTTAAGCTTACATCATTTAAACACAAAAGATGCCCACACAACACGAAAACTATATATTATAATGGCTATTAATTATAATGATTTTGCAATTTATGAGATCAATGTGGAGAAGTGTATCTAAAAAAGGATAGGCATGGAGTGAAAGAGAGAAGGCATTCCCATGTGAGTCACATTCACACGAGGGTCCTAAAAATATTGATGAGCTTATCCTCCTTGTCTTCTATTAATGCTTTTTAAGTTCCCAGCTAATATTGTTAGTAGTTTGATAGTGATACCACATGTAATTTTACTTTTTTGGAATATATGAGAGTTTATATTGGATTCTGATACTTCATAAGATGATGCAATAAATAATCAACTTCCTAACAAAAAATAATAAGTAACACACTTATGCAGTAAAATTCTTAAAAACAATATAATAGCTTACCGTCACAATTTTAATCAATCAACCCTTTAGTTTTAAGTGAAATTCCAACCCTTTGATTAAATATCTCTATTAACTCGTCTATAATAATAAAATAGATCTATAGTTGTTTTTTTTTTGTTTTTTATGGTTAGAAATTGATTAATGTTTAGCAGTAAAACAGTTAAATATAAAAATTTTGTTTAGTTAAAAAGATTTTGTGGTGATACTAGGAAAATTTGAACTTAGCCAATATGACCGAATAATATCTTCTTCTTTTTCTTTTTTCTTAAGAAACTAGTATAGCTCATTAAATAAAGGGAAATAATACTCATTAGTCATATGATTAATTTCTCTGATTTTGTTATTTTTTTAATCTTGGATTTGTTAAGAGACTGTAGAGGCTCGTTGTGTGTTGGCACGTGGTTCAAAAAATTGGATATGACGAGCGTGGTTTTGGATTTTCATAGGAAGGCCACATGACATGAGAGCCGTTTAAGCCGCCGTTAAATATGGATGGAATCAGGTTTTCTTCCGTCAGTGCCTGAGAAGTTGACGTCAATTGACAGAGTCAAGTGGGACGTTAGCCACAACCGGAAATAAGCAGAAGACTCTCCACAGTCACATGCCCACACTCTTAACCTTCTTAATGGATTAATCATTAATGCACACTTGCATCTTCAAATCATAAAAATACGATACATGATATTTATCTATAAGAATTTGTCATTGAATGATATAATATATGATCCATAATAAATTGTGTCTGCTTTGTTATAAGTGGTGAAGTCGGGACATGGGGCCGTGAGAGGGTAAAAGAAGTGTTGTGTGTAATAAGAGCGAAGGGTGAGGAGAGACAGTGGCACGACGGTGGCTTTAGCGCTCTGTTTCTCTTATTTCTGCCGTCTCCTTTTCAAAAAGGTCCCACCCACGTTCCTCTTCTTCTCTCATTTACCCTTCTTGTCTCTATACTCATTGCTCATTGCTCATCAGATTATTTTATATCCATTAAGAAAAATTGGACAAATGTAGTTTATCCCTTTTAATGTTATTGACCAAGGAGTAACCGAGAATTATGGTCACCTGTAAAGAATAAACTTTTTTTTTTTTTTTTTTTTTTTTTTGTCAAACTAATAAACTTTTTTCTAAAGTAAAGAAAAATATATACTCTTTTTGCGATCATAATGTGATTGAGTAGGTTTTCCAAAATTTGTATGTTTTATATTAACTCACAAGGTTACCTATGCTCGGCTTTGTTGCATGAATAATGAAAGAAAGAAATATATTTAACTTTTGAAAAAATTTAGTTACCACGATTAATCTAATGCAATTCAAAGCCCTCTAAGATTCAATTATTCCACGATTCTAAATCAAAACAAGGCTAATTTTTTAAACATATAAATTATTATATTGATTAATTATAATTGAAATAACAAAATTTATGATATATATGATCTATTTTAAGCATATATTAGGGAGTATGCCGACAAAGAAAAAAAAACATATATTGTAATGTAGACTGTAGAGTATTATACTTTAAGCCGACAAAGAAAAACATATATTATTTTAGTTATACTGTTTTAAGTTTAACTCAAGCTAAAAGACGAAATAGGTTATTGGAAAAAGCATTGTATGAAAATACGAGAACAAGACGCAATGCTAAGGCCACGTCCAGATTTTAGCCGAACAATGGTATAGGCGGTACAGCTGACCAGTCAGGCACCACAACTGAATTAAAAAAAATATATAGTAAGTTAAAAGATAAAGAAAACAAAAAGCTTGAACAAATTAAGACAATAACTCTCAAATGTTGTCAAATAATAGAAATCGAATAAATGACATGCAAATCTAAAAAAGTGAGATCCAACAGCTTCTTATAACTTTAGTGACAAAGAAAGCTCACACGATCCTCCTCGTAGCAACTCCACCGCATATCCATTGTATCTCGACCAAATGACTAAATCACCAAACTTCACTCATTGCATTCTACTCAAAAAATATTCTCAAGACTAATTCGATGTAATGATTTATGCTTAATAGTTGAATTTTATCTTAATAATTAGCAGATCACATAGTATATAGTGTAGGTATAAAGACAGATAATGGGGATATGAGATCAAATGTCTCCATGAGTTGGCATTTGTCTTGAAACATTGACCATACATGTGGATATGATCATTGATCAACACAATCTTTTGTTAATACTCTTTTAATTAACACAAATAACATGCTAAAGTTGTCTAATGTTTTATTTTGTCCACGACCATGCAAGGAAAATAAAAATAGCAGTAAAATGATGAATTTCAAAAAAACAAAAGGAAATACGTTCATTGGCAGTTTGGCGTTAACTTTATAGTCTTCAATTTCCAAACATGAACAGGCTAAATGATAATGTGTGAATAGTAACAATCGTCGAATTTAATTGTCATTAATATGTTTACTATTAAAACCATATTATAAACGTAATTTGGTATGTCTAAAAGGTGTTTTGTACTGGCCTTAAACTTTTTTTTGGTTTAAGGATGATAATACTCTGACGGCAGACAAAATCATTGAGAAAAGAAAGGAGTTTCCAGGAATAACCCTCTCTGATCTTCTGAAATCTCAGCTAAACCCCAAAAGAGTGAGTCACGGCCCCACGTGGATACGTGAATCACATCAGTGGCATAAATCCGTAAATTGTAGTAAAATCTAGAGGTATTTTCGTAGTTGGAATTCCATATAAGCTATTGCTGGTTCCTCTCCCAATTTCCCATAATTTAGTAAAATCTGTCTCTAGTCTCTTCTCTTTACTTTGGTCGTCTCACAATGAAAGGAGGCAGCCTCTCGTTTCTCCTCGTTCTCCTAATCGCCACCATCACTTCCGTCCTCTGCTTCAGCGACGGTAATAATCACTTACACTGTTACACACAAAGTCTTATCATGTTTTAAGTATATATGACTGCATTTTTTAGTGACATATTTCGTTAGAAGCTAAATTCTGTTTACTTTCTATCCAAAGTCGCTAACGAGACAATTTAACAAAAACCACATAACAAAATTTGATGGTTGTAGCAATTGTAATTAACGCAAATAAGTAGTCTAGTGGTGGGTAATGTTTTGCACCCTAGTTTGAACCTTACTTTGAAACTATGTATGAAGCTTTAATAGAGGATAGTTTACAAGTTGATCCCGAAACGAGGAAGAAGATTACGAACCTAGAACTTCCTCCGTAAACTCGCTCGATAACCAAAAACAAATTGGTCGGGACCATTGTGTTCTCTAATATTATTGTTTTTTTTTCCAATTATTATTATTGATTGATTTTGTAAGTCGGTCAAGAGTCTAATTTACCTTTATGCCCATTTCTGACACAAACACTCTGGACATTTTCAATTAATGACATAAAAATGGTCCAATTACGAAATTCTCTTTCATTCGCTGTCTTTAAGACACATCCAAGTTTTTGTTTCTTTTGGATATAAACAATTTCCTCATATTTACTCGGATCATGTTGTTGTGTTTTTGTCAAAACCCTGAGGAAAATACTATATATAGAAATTACTATATATTTATGAATATACGATGCACATATATATATAGTACATTAAACTTTGGACTATTTTGTAATTTCAACGCAGGGATGTTACCGAATGGTGACTTTGAGCTAGGACCAAAACCGTCGGACATGAAAGGAACACAAGTAATAAACAAGAAAGCAATTCCAAGCTGGGAGCTCTCAGGCTTCGTCGAATACATAAAGTCCGGTCAAAAACAAGGAGACATGCTTCTCGTCGTCCCGGCTGGAAAATTTGCAATCCGGCTAGGCAACGAGGCATCGATCAAACAAAGACTTAACGTTACAAAAGGAATGTATTACTCACTCACGTTCAGTGCCGCAAGGACATGTGCCCAAGACGAACGGCTCAACATATCGGTGGCACCAGACTCGGGTGTTATTCCTATACAGACGGTGTACAGTAGCAGTGGATGGGACCTCTACGCTTGGGCGTTTCAAGCCGAGAGTAACGTGGCAGAGATCGTGATTCATAATCCTGGTGAGGAGGAAGATCCTGCTTGTGGACCACTTATTGATGGTGTCGCAATCAAAGCTCTCTACCCTCCTCGACCCACCAATAGTAAGTATTCATTTATTATATGAATTGAGTTTGTAATTATTTTAAGAAAATCTTTTTTTCATATACCATGCAATGTGATCTGTCATGTTACAACTATATCTACTTGTTAACTCGTTATCGTTCGGCCTTAGGGGTAGACATTTGACAGTCTGGTTTGGTTTGTCAATATTTCAGTTTGGTTTAGTTCAGTTTTTGATAAAAGAATTGCAAATTAATCATTTAAAGTCATAAATCTTTTTTTTTTTTTTTTTTTGAATACCTTAAAGTCATAAATCTATTTTTAATATATGTACTAACTTGACAACTTGTAAATAAACTTTTTGGTTTGGCTTATGTGATAAAGTATTTCTGTTTCGATTATAGTTTTGAAGATTTTGGCATGGTTGGATTCGATTTATATGTCCACTTAGAATTATAGTCATTTTGATTAGAACATATTTCAATGGATCAGTTACATGAACATGTGTTAGGCAAGATTTAGAACAGTAAATTAATTGATATGGTTTTGCTATTATATAAAACAGAGAATATATTGAAAAACGGAGGATTTGAAGAAGGTCCCTATGTACTCCCAAACGCAACAACCGGCGTTCTGGTTCCTCCCTTTATAGAAGATGACCACTCTCCTTTACCAGCTTGGATGATCGAATCACTCAAAGCCATCAAATACGTTGATGTCGAACATTTCTCTGTCCCACAGGGCCGTCGAGCCGTGGAGCTGGTCGCAGGCAAAGAAAGTGCAATCGCTCAGGTGGCTCGGACCGTTGTGGGAAAGACTTACGTGCTTTCGTTTGCGGTTGGAGATGCTAACAACGCTTGCCAAGGATCGATGATAGTTGAGGCATTTGCGGGAAAAGACACTTTAAAGGTACCTTATGAGTCGCGAGGGAAAGGAGGATTCAAACGCGCTTCTCTGCGGTTTGTGGCGGTTTCGACCCGCACAAGGGTTATGTTTTACAGCACGTTTTACTCGATGAGAAGCGATGATTTCTCGTCGCTGTGTGGGCCCGTGATCGATGATGTTAAGCTCCTCAGTGCTCGTAAGCTGTAAGATGACCATTGTTTTAATTTGAAAGTTGTTCGTATAAGCCAGTGTGTGGTTTTTTTACTATATATGATTTTCTTAATCTCCAATGCTTTTGAAATGAGATGAGTAATACTGAAAGGGTGTTGTGGTGTAGGGTTTTTATATAAGGCAGAAAGGTCTTGCTTATATCTATTTTCTTGTATGAGAAGGCTGAAGAAATGTTATCTTTTTTTACTATATATATTGGGTTCTTCTTCTAAAGAGACCGAGTGATTATGAGAATAAAAAGTGTAATAGATATTATAGAGACGAATGAGGATATGAATTTGCCTTTCTAAATTTAGACTCGGGTTGTTGTTAGTTTCTTGTGTACTACCAATTCGTGTTAGGATCAAGTTTTTCGAATCACAC